CCATTATATTTTTAACAAAAAAGAGTTGACTGAATTGATTAAGTTTTGAAAGTTGCAATTTAGCATTGAAATAGTCCTCATTGAGGAGTTAAGTATTGCCTGTTCCAGGGAAAAATGGTTTTGATTTGCTCAAATTATGAGCCTTTGAAAAATCATATCCCAAGCATGTGAATCTTTCTTCATGAAGTTCAAGTAAGTGTGCACACAAGGATGTATCAGTGCTGCATATGTATTCATGTAGCTAAGTTAATTGTGGGGAGGGATAGCTCAGTAGTTTGAGTATTGGTCTGCCAAACCCAGAGTTGAGTTCAGTCCTTGAGGGGGCCATTTAGGGAACTGGGGTAAAAATCTGTCTGGGGATTGGTCCTGCTTTGAGCAGGGGGGTTGGACTAGATGGCCTCCTGAGGTCCCTTTCAACCCTGATATTCTGTAATTCTCAGAGTTCCCAAATAGATAGGATTCATGTTTCAAATTGAAATCTGGCATTGTGGAAGGCTTAGGATCTGGTAGAAGATCTTCCACCTGCTGATTGCTTCCAAAATGTTCCCCAGGCCTAGGGAGATGCTCCAGGGGCTGGGAGCCAGAGAGCCAGTGTTCCGTTCTTGCTTCTTTCTCTGACTGACTTGCAAAGTTTCAAACGTCATCGTATTTTTGATTTAAAATAAAGCCTGAGAAGGCCAGTGGCAGAAATCTGAAAATTGCAATTTGGTGTGCAGTAGTCCCTACAGAGTAAGGGCATGGGCTTTTTCTGAAGAAAAATAATTTTTGTGTGACCTAGTTAAGAGTGTTTGAAAATCATGTTGCAACTATGCACAGTAGATATTTTTGACTCCTTAGTCCTCTTAAGTGCATACTTTTGAGTAAATATTGAAGAGCATCACTCATGCAGGCTTAGAAGGGTGAATGGGGTTTTGTTGAGTGTGGTTAGCACTGAAATATTTGTATTTTTAGTCTCAGTTGAATGAGACTTACATTGATGTGACTAGTGAAGGGTCAGAGACTGCTAGCTGTTTTGGTGTATTTACAGTATTTTTTTCTTTGATTTGTACAGATATTACCTTTTTTCTAATTACTGGTATCTTGCACATGTATAGTTGGGATAACTTTCTGATATTTGTGTATTCCAATTTCTATTAGTTAAACTATATGGTTAAATCTTTGTTTTCTTCAAAGCAAAAAACACCCTAGGTAATTCCTCGCAAAAATCTGTGAACATTAACTTTGCTATTTTAATGTAAATATTCAAAAGTTAAGGTTGAATGCATAACCTTAACTCTGTTCCTTGAATCTGTGTATTACAGTGCAATCTTACGTTGCATAAGCACATGGTATTTTCTAAAATTACACACACAGAAAAGCTATGTAAAAGAACACTAAGGACACAAAGTCAAGTGCTCAAAAGTTAGGAAGTGCAAGAATTAAGGTTGCCCATGCAACTTTAATTTATCCCCCTTGTGCGTTATGATAGTATTTAATTACAGTAACTCCTCGCTTAACGTTGTAGTTATGTTCCTGAAAAATGCTGCTTTAAACAAAATTATGTTAAACGAATCGAATTTCCCCATAAGAATTAATGTAAAGGGGGGGTTGGGGTTAGGTTCCAGGGGAAAAAATTTCGCCAGACAAAAGACTGTATGGGTATTTATTTTTATATATACACACACAGTATAAATTTTAAACAATTTACTGAACACAGCAATGATGATTGTGAAGCTTTGTTGAGGTGGTGAAATCAGAGGGTGGAAGAAGGTGGGATATTTCCCAGGGAATGCCTTACTGCTAAATGATGAACTAGCACTCAGCTGAGCCCTCAAGGATTAACACATTGTTGTTAATGTAGCCTCACACTTTACAAGGCAGCACGAATGGAGGGAGGGGAGACAGCATGGCAGACAGAGACAGACACACACTGTGTGGTGTGTGTGTGTGTGTGTGTGTGTGTGTGTGTGTGAGAGAGAGACAGACACACACACCATGTGCGAGAGATGCACATTGCCCCTTTAAGAACACTGACCCCACTCTAAATGCACTGCCTTTTTAAGTAGATCAGCAAGTTGAGACAGCAGCTGCTGCCAGCAAGCTTCCTGAGCCCTGTCCTGTCCCGCTCCGCTCTGTGGAGATGAGGTATGGGAGAGGTACACCCTGACATTAGCACCCCTCTTCTCACCCACCTCCCCAGCACAGCAAGCAGGAGGCCCCCAGGAGCAGCTCCAAGGCAGAGGGCAGGAGCAGCACATGGCAGTGTGGGGAGGGACAGCTGAACTGCCCGGCAATTGATAGCCTGCTGGGTGGCTGCTGCACGGGGAACTTAGGGGAGTTGATGAGGGGGCTGCCAGTCCACCCTGGTTCCAAGCCCCCACCAGCTAGCTGCAACGGGCTGCTCTTTCTGCAAGCAGTGGACAAAGCAGGTGGCTGCCAAACAATGTATAAGGGAGCATTGCACAACTTTAAACAAGCATGTTCTCTAATTGATCAGCAATGTAATAACGTTAACTGGAACAATGTTAAGTGAGGAGTTACTGTATATAATTACATACTATGCTTTCCACAGGACCCCAACCTCATGCAGTGTACAGGATGGATGGTGCTCAGAAAATGAAGGTTGTGCAGTACATGAAGCTGTTTCTGTATAACCTGTGCCTCATTTGTTGCTGAGTTTGGAAGAATGGTCTTGAAATATGGGCAGTTGAATGCCATCCTGGAAAACTGATTTCTGTCCTGGTCTCTGCCACTGAAAATTAGTGGACATTCTTGACATTTTTGGCTTTAATCTCTCTTTGCCTATTTCTCATCTATAAAATAGGGATATTATTTCCCTACCTCTGAGGGGTGTTCTGAAGAGAAGTTCATTAAAGTTTGTGAAGCAGTGAGATATTACTGTGGTGGGCACCACAGAAAAGTCTGAGGAAATTAGGAATTCTGTACTCCATGCAGAATTTGGAAGACATGCAGTAAATATACCATGTCATGTGTTGAATATTGAGCATCCTCCATCCTGTGCACTGAGTGAGGCAGGGTCAGTGGGAAAAAAAATAGTTTCTTATTAAATAACTATATACTATCACAACAATACATATGCACAAGAGAGCCAAATTAAGGTTGTGTGGGTAACATTTATTCTGGCATTTCTTAACTTTCTAGTGCTTTACTTTACAAGCTTAAGTTTTATTGTGTAATTTCCTAGTCTTAAAAATCAACAAACAAACAAAAAACCCAAACAAAACAAAAAAAGCGTGCATGCACGTTGGCGCACACACTGAAAAAACAGAACTTCTATCATGTGGAGACACACTGACCATCCACATGGTTCACTGGCAGGATTGGAATCTTTAGATGCACAGACCTGTACCACTAGAGCTAATGGAGTGGAGTAACTGATAGCAGTAGCTGGCTGTCTTTTGTGGATGAGACACTAAATGGGGTGGATGGTTGGGGTAGGGAAGGCACTTTGCCATTGGATTTCATGCTGTTTTCTAGGTAGCAGAGGAATGTTGAGACTCAGGAACCCTGGGTTCTATTCCAGGTTCTGGGAGGGAGCATGGTGTAGTAGTTATGGCTGTTGCTTTCTCTGTCTAACCCATCTGTCCCCTCTGCCACTAAAATGTATTCCAGTAGCCTTTCTCTGCCCCATCTACCCCTCCCCACCCTGCAGTCTATCTGTCTTGATCCCTCACACTTCATCCTGCCTACATCCTGTTTCTTCTCCTTCTGCATTTCTCTCTTCTCTCAGCGTTTTCTCTCTGCATCCCCCCACCTCCTCACCTCTTTTCATTCCAGACAAGTGGCTTCCTCCTCCTTTTTGGTGCCAGCAGCTGAAGCATGCGAGCAGAGGCAAGAGAGTCTCCCTCCTTTGTTTCATTATATGGCATCGCAGCAATCCCTGGGAGTTAAGAAGAGCAATTGCAGGGAAGAGCTTGCTCAGCCTTCGGCTGGAGCATGCTCAATACAGACAGAATATAGCTGTCAAATTCTTAACAAGTCTCTAGGCAGCCTTAACTAGAGGCATTAGCATCAGTGCTATCTATAATTTTAAAAATATATATTTAGTATCAGGTAGTATTTTCTGGAAACGTGTGTGTGTGGTATCTTCTGGTACTGTGTACTAATCTGTGTGTGCCATGTAAACAGACTCTGTAAGTCAATTACAGAAAGAGAAAGCCGAACAAGGTTTTTAAATATTTGTGCAACTCACAACACATTGCAATGTTACTATGGTTGAAGTGCAACATAAGTGTAAAAACATAGAATAGTAAATTTAATTATAAAATGAATTATTTCAGGAGAAAACAACTTATGTCATACAAATGAGAACTTTTATATAAAATACACAGTAAAAAGAAATTATTAAAATGTGTACTATTAATACAACTCAGTGTATTTCTGTGAGAAACATCTTGTGAATTACTATGATAATTACGGTGTGAGGTGTTACCACCTTGAAGAGGAACCAACTTCTGACCGTATAGTGTGGTTATAACATCACTTCTCCCTATGGTTCGTATTTTAATTACTTGCCTTAGAGGAATGTGTGATCATGTAATTAGACCATGTCCTAATTCAAGAGGGGCAGAGTTAAGGTTGTGTATACCTCTTTAGCTTTGGCATTTCCTTTGTGTGACTAACCATATAACCTTAATGTCCTCTTAACATAGTTATTTTAATGGAATAAATGTTAAATTATATTTTACATGGTCACTTACCGTATTTGAATTGCCTGTAAAATTATTAGTTTTCATTGGCACATCTCTAAATCAGAATTTAGATATTACTGTGTCTAATTTCCATGAGATCATGGGAACAATGAAAATACATTTTTTCACAGCACGATTCAGAAATCTTTTTTGTGTCAAACTTTAGTTCAGCTTTTCAGATACACAGAAGAATATATAAAAATGTCATCTCTATGTATCTTCTTGATAAATTTGAAGAAAAAATATGGTTAACTATTAGTTTTAGCTAAAAAAATATACGTTGTATTAACTGGAAATTGTTTATGGCAGGCAATTGTTCTTTGCTTTCGACTTCACTTCACGAAAGATAATATCACAAATAACACTGCTGCAGCTACAGTGCGACAAGTAGTTACTGTTGTTTTTGAGAGAGTGGTTTTTGAAGACGAACGATACAAAGGTAGATGTTTTTCTTTTGTTTTTTGTATGTTTTTTAACCTGTTTTCTAGAGCTGTATTTAAAAACACAGGAATAGTTACCTTGCTTAGATTCTGAAATATATAAATATATTGAAGAACAGAAAGTTTCTAAATGCTGCAAAAATCGTAGGCATAGCTCATTCAGTTTTGTTGGGTGGGATGCACTTTTACCCCTGTGTTTGTACAGAATTTAATATAATGGATCCTTGATCCTGATTCATGATGAGATCCTCATCCCCTCTCCAGTTCCGTTATATTGCATAAACAGGCCAGAGTGGTGTAAAGCTCTAAAAGCCAGGGCAGAATTTCCCCAATGCAGGGACTACAGACAACAGCCTTAAGGCTAGGGTTTGCAAGGCAGTCCTTGGGTGGGGGCCAGGGTAGGATGGTCATGTTGTGACAAGGACACAGCATGTAGAACTGTGGAGATTGAGTAGTTCTGTGACTCGTAGGCAGCTAGGGACGGGCTGCTGTAACTTAGGTAAAACCCTAAAATTGTATTATGTTGGAAGGCTGTGTAGTGGCCCAGAATTGGGTGAGCACAAAGGTGGCTTGAAGTTACCATGTCTTTCTTCTTCGGGCTGTGAGTTCGGTGTTTCACAGCACAGAGTCTCACCATGGGTCTCTTAGCACTGCTGTAATACAAAAAAATTACTCTAGTGTTCCTGTTACTCTTGTTACTCCAAAAGAAAATGTCCCCACCAGTTGCTGTCCTGGCCCGTCAGGGTAAGCAGCTGGCGTGCCGGGACACTTTGTTTATTTAGGTTTACCTCCTTGCCTGCGAATGCTTGAGGTAGGTAAACTATCCTCATGGCCCGGGAGCCAAAGTTTGCTGACCCCTGAATGGGTCGGCTTATGAATGGTCGGCTTATGAATGGGTCATAAAATTTTTCCATTTTTACTTATCCATCTTGGGCAGGGGGAGGAGTGTCAGCTTATAAACGAACCGGCTTATGATCGAGTATATACGGTATTTTAAAGGAATACTCATTAATAAAAAGGAGTAAAAATCTGACCTTTATTTTTGAAACTTATTAGTGGAACAATTACCTGTTTGTGCCACTCTTTGTCTTATAGGCGTAGATACTTGATTGTAAACATCTTTTGTTCAAACTTTTTTTTTATACAGATGTTATTGAACAACCAGTACCAGTTCCAGGAAACAGTAACAGAAGATCTGTCAGTACTCTGAAACCATGTGCTAAAGATGCATATATGCTTTTTCAGGTATTGGTAGATTTTTTTAGGATTTGTGCTTAATAACTCTGCAGTTCTGAACTTTTATTTCTGAAAAGCAGATGAAGTTTCATAACTGAAGAAGTTTTAATTTTTTTTATAGTAGAGATGTGGGTCATGTGTTTACCAACAGATATCAAGGAATATTGTACACCTCTACCCCAATATAACGCGATCCGATATAACATGAATTTGGATATAATGCGGTAAAGCAGTGCTCCGGGGGGTGGGAGGGGCTGCGCACTCTGGCGGATCAAAGAAAGTTCGATATAACGCGGTAAGATTTTTTGGCTCCCGAGGACAGCGTTATATCGGGGTAGAGGTGTATTAGTAAAATTCAGGTATTTGGTAATTTTCCATTGTATAACTAAATTGTTGAAGAGATTATAGTAACGAAGCACTTGTGTGACCAAAAGGATTTTACCAATATAGTATCGTATTTTCTTAATTCAGTTTGATATTCTCTTAATAGATTATAATCATATTTGTCTATTACACTAACACATTCCTTATTTTTAAACATTTCCTTTTGGATTCTGTTTTTTGAGCATGCAAATTGTCTTTATAATAAAAGTGCACCTCGCTAGAAATCATATGGACATCATGCCTATTATTTAGAGCCCAGAGTTTTCAATCCTCCTTTTGTATGGTTATCATCAACAATGATGTATTCTTTCCCAGAGAATGATGGGAAACTGAAGATAGGGTGAATGTTCGGAGATACTTTTAAAATAAGATATGTGGAACTGGCTTATGCATATTGACCATGGAGTCATTAGTATAATATAATAATTTCAGGAGCTTGCTTTTTTTTATTTGTTTTAACCAAATACTAAAAGCCAGATAAAACCAGAGTACATTGCATTACCAATTACAATAACACTATGAAGTATACAATGAAAATGGTCAATATAGTATTTGTTACAGCAGTCAGAAGCTTGCTGATTTATCTAATCTGTTGATTAAGATGTTCTGTTTACTCCTGCTTTCAAAAGACTTATTTATATGCAGTATTTTTTTGTTCCTACCATCATATTATTCTTGTTCCGTATTTAGTATGTGTACAGATGTATTAATATATTTAAGGGGAAAAGTTAACTTCGAGTTGGAAAAGAATAGTTAATTACTGAAGGAAGAGAACTTATGTGATATATTTGTTTCTCAGGATCTTTGCCAGTTGGTTAATGCTGATGCTCCTTACTGGCTGGTGGGTATGACAGAAATGACCCGGACATTTGGTCTTGAACTTCTTGAGTCAGTCCTCAATGATTTTCCTCAAGTGTTTTTACAAGTAAGTTACTTCAAAAGGAGGTGAAAGTTAACAGACTTTTACATCAGAGTTTTAGTAAGGTAAACTTTGACTATATGAAAGTAGCTACAATTTTTAGTTTGTGCTTGTTGGCATTCTATTTTTCCTTTCCTAAAAGGTACAGTTGTTGCCCTTTTTCTTTTTTCTGTGTAGAGCACACATTTCTAATTTTGTTCATTTGGGGGTATCTCTTTTTGTGATTGTTTGTGTAAGTACATGCAACGTGTAATTCTGTATAAACCATAAATATCTTCTTAAGTTTCCTGTGTCAAGGTGTGTGCCAAGCAATGACATTTTTTGTCCTTCAGCATTATAATTTATTATACTTTTGAAGCTATTCTTTCAAAATATGGAAGATATATTGTGACATCACTGTTCCCACAGCAACCCTAACTTGGTCCCTCTTGCACAAAATTGTAGGAACCATAATTTTTTAATTTGCATGACTTTGGTGCATGGAAACACTCAATCATAACCTTGCAGTAATCCATTTAATAGAGACTGGCCAAATTTAGGAGCAAGGTATATAAGTCATGTATTGGTAGATTAGTTTAACTTACAAACCACAATGAGAAGGAATGTAGCGTGAAAAGAAACACTGTTTTATCATGCTTTCCTTGCTGCATGCCTCCTTTCCATTCCCTCAGCACATAACTTACATCAACATTTATATCACTTCTGAATTAGGCCACATGTATATTCATAGTACTAAGATGCATTCTAAATATGAAGAATATATTTTTTCTATACAATTAATCAAAGAATTAGCAAGAGTTGGACAGAAATGAATCACTGAAATCTTTCCATGTAACATCTCCGGTGTTTTAATTTCCATTTTCTTAACTACTGGATTAACTAAATAAAAATGGTTATGGCTATAGCCATAGGTACTGATAGCTACTAAAGAGTGTCTACTTTTAAATCCTGGAATTGATGATGATTTTAATTTATATAACTCATTGTTAACATTTACTTTTTTTTTTCTTTACAGCATCAAGAATTTAGTTTCCTCCTTAAAGAGAGGGTTTGCCCTCTTGTGATAAAGCTATTCTCCCCAAATATCAAGTTCAGACAAGGTTCCACCACATCATCTTCACCTGCACCAGTGGAAAAACCATATTTTCCTATCTGCATGCGCTTGCTGAGAGTAGTCTCTGTTTTGATCAAGCAGTTTTACAGTTTGCTGGTAAGAATATATTCAAGTATTCCTTTCACAGATCTACACTCGTGGGTGTGTGCATGCATTCTGCACCATAGTGTGCTAGCGGCTTATGTCAACTTTCTAATGGTTACAGCTGTATACGCTGTGTATAGTTTTCAGTATTTACATGTTCATAAACTGTTTTGTGTTTGTGGGCAATACAACCATCCTTAATCAAATGGAATAGACTCAGAAACTTTAAGGTCAGAAGGGACCATCATGATCATCTAGTCTGACCTCCTGCACACAACCTCTCTCACCCATTCCTATAGTGGGACCATAAACTCTGGTTGAGTTACGGAAGCCCTCAAATCTTGATTTGAAGACTTCAAGTTACAGAGAATCTACCATTTACTCTAGTACAAGCCAGCAAGTGACCTGTGTCCCACGTTGCTGAGGAAGGTGACCCTCACCCTCCCAAGGTCTTTGCCAATCTGACGTGGGGAAAAATTCCTTCCCATCCCCAAATATGGCCATCAGTTAGACCCTTAGCATGTGGGCAAGACCCACCAGCTAAACACCTGGGAAAGAATTCTCTGTAGTAACTCAGAACCTTCCCCCTCTAATGTCCCATCTCCAGCTCTTGCATATATTTGCTAATAGCAATCACAGAAGGGCCATGTGCCATTCTAGGCAAGCTCATAGAATCATAGAATCATAGAATATCAGAGTTGGAAGGGACCTCAAGAGGTCATCTAGTCCAACCCCCTGCTCAAAGCAGGACCAATTCCCAGCTAAATCATCCCAGCCAGGGCTTTGTCAAGCCGGGCCTTAAAAACCTCCAAGGAAGGAGACTCCACCACCTCCCTAGGTAACGCATTCCAGTGTTT